TGACACATTTCTGACAACAGAATGCAAGACTGCAGTAGCAACTACTTTCCATTTCTAATTATTTTTCTTAATTATGCTTAAGGTTGCTTTCGTAACTTCTATATGACTTCTGTTTTGGTGCAACATCTTGACAGATGTGTAACTTTCAAGTGCAATGGTAATTTTAATTAATGTAAAATATATGAGCATTGAACTAGTTTAAATAAACACACGAAACAGTAAAACTTCAATTTTACAATCACTCACTGGTCTTCATCATATGGCAAAATTTCCACAATAATGAAGTCTAATATGTAGTCATTTCCTCAATTCTCAGCCATACATTCTAATTTTCATACTAAGTGACTGATTTTTGGTTAAAAACTCTCACTGCTACTATGTATGTTCAGTGAGTACCATATTATAGGGGTGGAGAAACATGGCGGTGGAACCCTTACTCAGGCAAATAAGATTAAATCCATCAAATAGTAGCTTCACATGCCATGCACAGAAATAAAACTATTCAGTGGTAGGATCCTTAATCTTTTTTTTTCTTTTTCCAAGGTAGCATTCTTCACCTCAACCACTAGGAACAATTTTAAGAAAACCATCGATGTGGTTTCAGCTTTAGTTGTGTTAGAGCAGGATGCTCAAAGTGTTTCGTGTTACAGTATTTCGCAGCCAGTAAAAGACAGCCCACAGCTACGAGATCCATTTGGTCTTAAAACGTCCCACTGCAGACCTGAGGATATATTAGCCTCTTTCAATTTTGTGTTTCAGCAGCTCTGATGTCCAGTTTTCCAGTAATGCCCACAGGCACAGATGATGTAATCATGGCTCACAGTAGACCAACAATGGCAATCAAACCAGTGGACGTACAGTTTTGTTTGTATACATACTCTATATTCCTGTTTTCGAGCCTATCTGTCACACACTACCACTTTAATCACAAAGATTCCACCACTAGCCAGGTATCCACGGCTTGTATTGACTTGGAACCACAGATTCACCACCTCAAAAGCAATGTTTTTCCACTTTTTACTCAGACACTCATACTTCTTATTGCATACTACACCAACACTTACTGGTTTACAATCACATGAACACTACACTATCTCACTATCAATATAACACTGCCCTTCTTTGCAGAAGTTTATGTTTTAAAGATGCAGATCAATTACATACACGTGCAACTCTTGAGTCATGGTATCAACATAAGCAGGCAATGTTAGAGAAAGGGAGGGGAAGAAAAAGTAGCCAACAGCCATAGCAGTCAGATCTTGTGACAATATATCAGTCATTTCATAACTATTCCCAATGAAAACTTCAGAAATAACCTCAAAAAATAAAATAAAACAAAACAAATACGAGGAGACAACTGCATTTTCAACTCAGACATCCAATAGCTAATTGTGACAAGGTAATTGGACACCTTGGCCATTTTCCATGTTCTTATAAATTTATTACAAACTAAAAAATTAATGTTTGTACTCTGTATTATTTCAGCCCACTCAGAAATGTAAATATGCAGTCTAAGACATAAGGTCTCTGTAACCAAATATGTGTATCAAAATTTGCTGCTTCATTTGAAAATTAAGCCATAATGACACATTTGCAATATTAATTTATAGGTTACATCCATGCCAGTCTACATCCATTTACAACAGTTTCTCAATATCGTTTGAAAAATGTAACTGTAGCCAGCAGACATACCAAAGCATGAACACAAATAGTCATGTAACACTGTATTTTGTCATTAAATAAACTTTAATCGTGTTGGCACATACTAAAGCGAATGAAAGAATTTAACCAAATTTGGACTATTTTAACATCAACTCAGTTTATATTTGGATTTTTTTGTTATTAAATCACAAGCATGAAGTGAGAAAACTACCCACAATATTGCAAAAACTGTCTGCAAAGACTTAAAACTAGTTTCTGTTGTAATACCGAGCAATGGCAAATTGCATTACATATTTATAGACAAGTCCCAGTCATTTAATGTATACTGTATACTGACAGACATTTCTAAAAATAAAAACTGTCACAAATAAAATTACTCACATTCATGCAAATAATTTTGGGAACTGAAGAGTAGAATGTCAAAAGTTTGAACCTGAGTTCCATACCAGGCAGAAAATTTCCTGACCAGTCAAGATTATATCTCCTCAAGAGGGACTCTGTTCCATGGACTTCGTTACTCATACTTCACACTTCAAAAAATGAGAAAAGCAGAACAATCATAAATATATGTACAATATGAAAGTGCAAATGTGCTTACATCTTTCATTTTCTTCAATTGGGATTCTGTAATTTCATTTCAAAATTTTAGTTATAATTTATAGATGCAAATGTTGTCATTCTGAACCAAACCTGGCAATTTTTGAAGATACAGGTCCCCAAAATATTACCCAAAAATTAAACAAAAACATAGGAAATAGAATTCCCTAGTAAAACCACACATTAACTGGAAGATTTTGTTGTGTATAATGCTTCAATGCACTGCCAGTATACAAGCAAGACTAGGATCGCCTACAAATCTGAATAAAATTTGTAAAGCACCTAATATAACAAAATAATTTGCATAATGTCATTATGTTTGTGAATCACTGTTCAAGGGAAGAGAACAAGGTGAAACAATACACATAAAAGTGAATCCTGAAAAGGTGAAAATGGAAGAAATGATGAGGAGGAATTTTTGTGATTTACTCTTTTCCTGAGCCAACTCCATCCATTAGGCCCCCCATACACACACACACAGTTTGACCTTTCGATCGACCTTACAGGCAAAACTGTTACAGTTTGCCCTCTCCCTTTCCTTCCCCATACACACGCAGATAAACCGGCAGGCTGCTGTAAGTGAAACAAGTTTCTTTGAACATTTTTACTTTTACTACATAGGATATGAAAAGTTACAGAAACATTATAAACACAGGAAGATAAATTGTCATGGTACGCACATTAAATTAAGAGATTTCCCCCATTATAAGGTTGTTTATCTGAAATAGAGTAATACGAAAAAAACTGTAAAGGAAATAAAGTATTTAAAAGTAATATTGACCCGCCCTAGTAGTGACCCATGTAATCATCACAGCTGGAACCCGAGGAGATATTTGACTGAGGGTCAGGAGTACTGTATGTTAAGTAACCTCCAGTACCGGTATTGATTGAAGAGTATCTACGAGTAGAAAGCTTCAAAAATGCCGTCATTTATTAATTTCTCTGCATAAATCCTTTGTTCATTATTTCCTAATGCTCGTAATTTGGCAGCGACATTTTTTGCAAAGAGGTCAAATTTGTCCTCATTTTTCACTTGAGCCAATTGATCGCCCACTGCCACCAGTATCTGATCATTAGCAGACAGATTCTTTTTACGTTTGAATGAACCGCCGTAGGAACTGCTGGCAATGGTAGAGGTGAGACCGTGGTAATGTCTGGACCAGTGCTGATGTTTAATTCTGCATTTACGGTACAAGTTTCAAAATGTCACGTTCTTAAGAAATGACACACAACGCGAAACAGTGCTGAGGAACACGAGACAGCAGCAGCAACTGAGCGATTGGCCTGCCGGTATCGTCACACACGTGCTACGTCCTGCAGGCAGAACTGATGGATTTCCTACAGTCCAACAGTCCAAACGATTGTCCGGCCGGCCGCACCACACACGAGTTTTGCCTTTCAGTCTTCAACTGTGCAGGCCGAACGGGAGGCCAAACTGTGTGTGTATGTGGGAGCCTTATGCATTGTCACAGCCTGCCTCCCTAAAATCTAGCTTGATGTTACCCTCCCATCTCCTCCTTGGTCTGCCCACTGGTCATTTTCCAGGATTCCATACTAAAATTCTGTAGGCACAACTTCCCCCCAGCATGTTAAGTGTGCAGCCCAACAGAACTTCCTAGATTTCACTATCCTCACAATGCTAGGTGACCCGTACAATTCATGCAACTCCTTGTTATGAAGTATTCTAAATTCCCCACTTATTTCATCCTTCCTAGGTCCAAATATCTTCCTGAGCACCTTGTTTTCAAACAATCCAGTTGATGAAAGACTCTCGGGTTACAAGCTGCGTCATGTGGCTGAATGGTGAATAAACCATATCTTCTGCCGAAGTTTCGAGAGCAATCTCTGCTCTCATCCTCAGGGCTGCTGCATCACAAATCTGGTCCTCTATAGCGTGCTCACCGATGGGAACTGGCAATGGATGGCAGGTAGTAGCATGGTGTTGCTGGTGGCCCCGGGGATGAGAGTAGAGATTGCTCTCGAAACGTTGGCAGAAGATATGGTTTATTCACCATTCAGCCACATGACGCGGCTTGTAACCCAAGTCTTTCATCAACTACAGTTGCTGTGAAAGCTTCACTTCATGCTTGTAATCTACTTTCTTCCTCCAAGGTAAGAGACCATTTTTCACAACCATACACAACAAGTAAAATTATTGTTCTATACAACCTGATCTGAAGTGTTTTGGATAGCAAATGAGATGATAACAGTTTTTGGATTGAATAAAAACAAACATCCCCCAATTGTGTTCTACTATTAATTTCATATGTATAGGATAAGGGGATAATAAGGTTTTAACAGTGGGCTTGTGTTATGAATATTAAATCTGCAGTTAGTTCGCTTATGCGGTAACTTTCAGTTCTCAAGCTTACCTCCTAAAAGCAGTAGTGTTGAAAAGTCAGTTCCACAAGTGAATATGGTACAGCTCTAGAGAGTCCTCCGATGGGAAATGGGGCTGCTGCATCTTCATCATAGCTGCACATCCTGTAAATAATTGCAGCATTGACTTAAAGACAACAAAAGTAAACTAGTTCTCATATTTCTTGAGAACAGGAAGTCTGAGAACCTCTCCGACTAGATTTTCAAGATATTTTTTACCATGTTTATGAAATATGGCACTGAAGGTCATCCTACCTCCATACATTTAACTGAGTAACATGAACGCTATGGTAAGTTTGAGGTGGGAACAACACTGAAAAAAGTGACTGTGCAAATCTATATTTATACTTGTATTTTAATGGTTATGAACAGCCTGCTTTGGCCCACCTATAGGAATGCTGCAGCGATAAATTACAAAAGAATCTACTTCAGTATAAAAATGATAAAAAATACAAACATGATGCCAGCATGAACATCTGAAATTTAACAACTTACAAAATACAGAAGGACAATGGCAAAATGCAGTGTTCTATAAATCGCAGATGTGAGTCGTGTAATAATTGCAGGTAATTATTACCTCCAAGTTCTGCCATCATCATCTGCTTCCATGTACATCTTCTGCATCAGAAACCATTCAGATAAACTGGAAATCTAATTCCTTTCACTTCATAAGGACTTACACATTTAAACAACAATTAGATGAATACATTTTTTGAATAAAATGTCTTTTTAATATGGGACATATGATCTATAACTTTTCTTTCATATGAATTAATAGAAAGAAATATGTTGATATAAGAATTTTAACACGATCCGAGCCTTTAATTTCCTGGTTTCACTGTTAACAAGTTTCCTCCTTGAAGACATATGTTTCTATTAAATATGGTACTGATGTTTATAGGTTCAGACATTATGAGCAAGGACCATTTTCTGCAGTTTCTAAAATGTCCCCATTCCTGTATGTTATAACTCCAACTTGATACTTAAAAAATGTAAAAGCAAAACCCAAGGGAAACAGCAAGAAGATGCTTCAACAAGTCCCTACCTCATGAGAATTTACTGAAAATGAATTTTAGCACAAGTAAATCAGATACATCATGCAGATAACTAGAACTCTGCCATGTGGTTCTTATTACATGGACTAAGTATAAAATTATTACATTTACAAGGTGGTTTCTATAAAGGCAAACAGCCTTACAGACATAATCTGCCTGTATTTTGTCCACATTGTGTAAAGAACATAAAAAACAGAGCATGAATATAATGTCAGAATTCAGCATACCAACTACATACCTGAAAAAGTACGGAGATTGTATGTTGTGGTTACGATGTGTTCACTCACGTATTCAAACCACCATGTAACGCTGCTGCCATTGTGCTGAAGTTTGCTTCAGGCCACGATATGTTTTACTGCAATACAACAAATTCCACTATTCTAACACAATTCAAAATGCAGCCTTCATGCAGTACTTCTGTGCAGTTGCTGGCTGTTACAGGCTGGTATCTGATGTCTGCAGAACAACATTCTGAAGCATCCAGGTATGATTGCAAAGTTAGTAGACCATAAAGGAAAGTGTCAACATAAAATTGGTGTGAGGAGTAATTTCAAAATTGTCTTTATGTATACTTACTATGATTATTTACAAATAGTCAAATATCTCAATTCCACCATTATCCACAACTATCTCTTGGTGCATTAACCCTACACAATCGATCTAATAGATCACATCAGGTAGGGTCTAGAACTATGTTCTCCTATAATTCATATTAAGACACAATGGTCAAAGTATCTTATCCTACCTTACAGCCATAGTTTGATTATGGACTTTCATAAAGTATCTCCCTGAATAAACTAAATAGTTTTTTGCATCATGGTATGATATCAAACTTAAATTTCCCTTTAAATTCAAAACATGTTTAAAAATGAAATTTTGTCACAATCCTAATTCATTACATAATTATTAATAATTTTACATGCAACACATTTCTATTCAAATGCTGCTTCATATTCAAATTGTTGCATATTCACACACCAGGACATACTCTAAATAAAAATGGAAATATTGAAAACCTGTCAGATAACCAAGTTTATAAAAAGTAAAAGTTATCTGCAATAAAGCAAAGTTACAGGGACATCATGGTAGGACCAGAGAACCACCAGGTAAATTCTGTAATTCTACAGCACCTTATTTTGTATTCATTCATCAGTACAAGGAACTTACTAATTCTGAACACACCACCATCTTAAGATTCTTCCTTCACACCCACTTTGCACATACTGAAAGAAATATATAACATCCGCCAATGCCAATAAGACAATGCAAAAATGGATTTTATAATTATAAAATACACTTTGACCAATGTACTAGGACCTTCATTGCATGTAATACACTGATACAGTGAGGAAAATTAATCACAGAATTAACTAGGCACTCATATCCATTCACTGTAGCCTGAAAGATGTTTTTAAATTTCATTGCTTATTTTTCATAACACGGTAAAAGGGCAGTGGCTGCCTAGTGGTTGTATGATAAATATAAAGACCTTGTCATTTCAAAGCCGCAAAATACCTTACCTTTGTGATGTACAAATACAACACATCAGACTATTTCTACTTCCCTTAAGGCAAACAATCACTTACGCACAGTAATACCATTCTATTTTATGAAATTTATTCATGCCTTACTTAATAACAGTTTCCGTACAAGCTAAAATATCAAATGATAGGGTGATTAAATGAATCGAAAAGAACATGGAAAGGCACAGTCATAGCCGATTCACGACACTATCCTATCTCTGCCTGGAGGGGCTGACGATACCAGCATGTCTTATAGCTCGAAATATCAGTCAACATCGGCTGAATTATAAGTTGTCTTGAGCTGATCAGCAATCATTTCAATTAAGAAATTTAAACAATATAATACGAATGAATCATTTTCAAGAAACACAGTAATTAAAATAACACATTTTTCAATGACAAATCATTTCGAGCAACGTAGCCATTGAACATAATCGAATAAAGAAACATGTCTAAGGTCAACATTAATTGCTTTTACTATCTACTACTCGACATTAAGCTTTACCAACAAATATATACATTATATACTTACTTACGGAAAAAGACCAAAAAAGAAATCAATTAATATTGTCTCCAACCCGCGCACTCAACATCGCCATGCAGAAAAGACAGACCAGTTCGTTGGGCGACAGATTATCCACCTATCCAGTTATTCTGTACTCTCTGCCACAGTCATACCAACGTCCATACCTACTAGCACTGAATAGTTTACAGTGTAAACTTTACACCAACCTAATGAGCGCCATTTTGAAATTACGAAGTTGCATCCTGTAACGAGTATTGTCGAGGTATTATTGTCAAGGAGTACTATTTTGAACATCATTTTTCTAATACATATAGAATCGATCCCGCCATAAATCAAAATATAGTTTGTGAGACTGTGAATCAATGTGAAGCGTACTGCCATTTTGCAGGGGTTGAGGAATTATTATTCCTACCTTGTAAATTTCTTGTTGTATACTAAATCCCATTATAACAGGAGTCACCTGTACTTGGCTAGAAGATGCTTCCCTAACCTCCAAAAGCTTTTATCCATCACTGACATGCTATTCACCTCATAACACCCACACTGGCAAAAAATACCAGTTGCAGGCAGTACTGCAGTTGATTCTAAACAGCAAAATGATGTAACTTTTTTAATACGTAATGCACCATTGTGTTCATAAACCTGATATCAGACTAGCAATACTAACATCATAACTCTTTCCGAAAACAGGACATACATAGCAAAATATTCTTTCTCAAACACACAAGCTTGCAATGTTAGGACCAACACCAGTAAATGAACATGTTGACATAAGACAATGGATGGCAGGAGTTGGCAGAGACAAAAAGAAAGCTTAACAACTATAATCCACTAATGAAATTTACTGAATACACTTGCATGCATTACATTAATGAACAAATCCTTTTACACAGTGAATGTTCCATTATTTTTTATGAGCTGGCTTCCTGTTCCCTTAGAGAAGTCTTTCACATTTATAGCCTGCGGAAAGAGGAAGCCCCCAAGAAATGAGCTCCCCATGTTCCACAAACCAACTTAACCAGAACAGATGCAAGAAAGGAATAGTTTATATTAATAAAAGAACATGAGATTATCGGTGAGCCGGGATAGCTCAGTCAGTATAGTGACTAGCTACGGGCTGGACGACAGGGGTTCGATCCCTGACGGGGGCAGAGGATTTTTCCTCTAAACTCTGCATCCAGACCGGCTCTGGGGCCCACCCAGCCTCCTCTACAATGGGTACCGGGGTCCTTTCCCGGGGGTAAAGCCGGCCGGGGCGTGATGCTGACCACTCACCCCCATCTAGTGCTGAGGTCAAGGAAGAGAGGATCTATACCTCGACTCACCCCAAACGCCTACATGGCGTATAGTGGGACAAACTTTACTTTACTTACATGAGATTATCAAAAATGATGGTTAGAAAATTTATGAAGATTGAAAAATGTCAAATCATAGGAATATTTTATGAATACCAATATCGAGAAAACAGACTTGGGATGTCCACGGAGAGACTAGTTTCAAATTATAAAATGAGTCAAGTTTTCACACCTTTTGGAGTAACAATTAAAAAATTCTTAGTGATATTTTAAGAATTACAATTAAAGACTGAGCAGGCTAAACCACAGAAATATCCCACAATACCACCTCTTAACATACACATGGAAACAGCAAAACTAGTAGACACTGACCATAATTACAAAATGTTCCTAAACCACCCATCATTGACTTTCAATTGCAATGATGATTGCACATACATGGTTTCCATTAATAAGCAAATAAAATAATTTTTTGCATGTTGGTAATCAAAAGCAACAGAACTGCCGACAGATGAACTTTCGCAGACTGCAAAGTACAAATGTCCTGAGCTCACACAAAACATAAAAGCATATCCCATACTTTATGGTGGTGACAACACATCTAGGATATAAAAGTACTTACTGGTAGCAATAAAGTAGATAGACAACAAAATGCTTAGTTGTTTTACAAGAAGAAGTTAACCCTGCTCTAAAATATAACTGAAAAATTGCTTACATTGTCTAAGCATCTTATGCACTAAAATCTGCACTGTCTGCTTACGGATTTGTAAAACTGGTAGACAACAATACAGCTTATAATACATTAAAATAAATCTGTAAAATTTAGAAAGAATAAATTCTTTTACAATTCCTCTTGTAAAATTTTTAAAAAAATTGTATCACAGGCAGGTACAGGATTGTGTAGAGTATGCTGCAGGGCGAAATTAATTTATTAATTGTTGTTCATTATGACTAGTGAGAGTGATTGAATTCCCAATTTTAGAGATCGCTATTCTGGATGAAGCGGTTGCCCTCCGAGTGTTTCCCAGAATATCGATAGCGACATTTCCCATATGCACCTAAAACACATTAGTGAGTTATAAAGACCTCAAACTTAATCTTAACATAAGACAAATGCAATTCCTTTCTTTAGACTACTTTCAAAAACATGGGAATTTCAATACTAAATAGAAAAGTCAACCTAAAAGGCTAATATTATTATTCAGATTTCAAAACCAAACATTTTCTATTTATTTCGAATTTCCCCATGTGATGCCCACCCAATTCTCCTTCATTTAAGCACCCTAGTAATAGTTGGTGTCAAGAACAAATTACAAAACTGAATTACGTAATATTTTCCACCTTCCAGTTATTTCTTTTTTCTTAGATCCAAATATTCTCTCCAGCAATTTTCCATAAGACTGTTATTCTCACCTTGATGGTCACCAATACATCTTGAAGATGTAGGCAAAGGGGTGTATGTCGACGGTGGGCTGCCACCACACGTATCACTTCTGTGCGACACCTACGTAAGAAATCACATAATCAGAATTGGATCGTCTCAAAATATAATTCTACATTATTTTGGTTTCTCATCTTGGAGGCCTTAATTCAATCCCAGGGTAGTTCATTAATAGTAATTGCATGCCACAGGCAGATGATAGCTTTCACAACTTTGTGCGATTTCATGCAAGGCCAACAAAATGCACAGAAACTACAGACATAATCAAAATGAAGAATGAACTAACCTGCCCCAACATTCACTGTTTATACAGGACTTAGCACAATAAAAATTAAGGTGGTTTATATATGTTTTGTGAACATAATTTATGAGACAATATTATTTTCAACAGAGTGATGGAATGGAGACCGATGGGAAGAAGGATGAGAGGGAGACCACAGAAACGATGGATAGATGACGTGGAGGAGGATGTGAGAACGATGGGGGTGAGGGGATGAGAAGAATTGTGAATGATAGGGCAGAATGGAAAAAACTCGTTGAACAAGCTAAGACCCACACAGGGTTATAACGCTACAAGAAGAAGAAGATGATATTATTTTCAACATTCAAATAACCAAACAAATGAACATCAAATATGGACCCTACACACATTTCTTCGTCTTGTATTTGTAATCAGAATCATAAACTAAAACAAACACTGTACTGGACACAAGATCTTGATTTCAGAATACCAATATTTTCAAAAACAACTTCTTGGAACACATTTGAAAGTATACTGGTGTCCTTAAAATTCAGTTAATTTGATTAGACGACACAGTTAAAAAATGGAAAGAACCGAAATTAACAGTCAGTGGATGATGATGATCGGTTTATGTAAACAGACAGAAAACAAAGCTCAAACAGCAACAGGCGTGCTGCCACGAGCCACATGGAATATGTGGGTACAGACAAACACAAAATTACTTACCTGCTGTGCTACATTTGAAAGTGTATTAATTTACAGTGCAGGATTCTTCAAACCTAATATAAAGGTGCAACTAAAATCGGTAAACGAATATATGCAGATGTTTTATACAAAACTGATATCATACACATACATGAGAACTCTCAGGACGTATAATCTTCATAAACTTCCCTCTGTGCTGTGCTTCCTTCCATTCTTCTGAGGTGACACATCTTGAATCTAAGAATTTTAACCTTGGCAGATGATACAGCACATAGAATCTGAAACACAATTATGTCTTAATTTAAAATTATTTATATCTTTTGACTCTTGTGTTAGCAAATACTGTAGACAAGAAAATGAGACAGTACTAGTTCTTACCTGTATCTCTGGTAATCTTCTTCATCCTTGTCTGCATCTGACAGCTGATTGGGGCATGCAGCATTTCCCAAGAGACTCAGGTAATGAAGTGATGGTAAATTCTTGGCTATCTTGGTAAGCAGTGACTCCAAATTGCTGATCTGGCCAAACAATATATACATAAAAAAATATTTTCCCATTCATGTGAAAAATAACGAAGTTACTTCTTTTTAATTAAATTTTAAGAGCAGATTAAATGGAGAGTTCACAATCTTTTGTCATCCCAGCTCCTATCTAAACATGTAAACATTAAAATATGCAGAACTGTAATTTTACCTGTTGTTTTATGTGGGAGTGAAACTTAGTTTCTCACATTAAGGGAAGAACTCAGATTGAATGAGTTTCAGAACAGGCTGTTTATAAAAATGTTTGGATCTAATAGGAGATGAAGTGAGAGGAGTTTGAAAAGAACTGCAAAAAAGGGGTTCCACAATTTTTATCCTTTGCTGAATACTACTAGAATGATTGAATCAAAGAAGATAAGATGGGAGAAGTATGCAGCATACACAATGATGATGATAAATGCATACAAAATGATGGCTGGAAAACCTGAAGAAATGAGACTAAGCAAAATCCATAGGTGTAGATGAGAGAACAATATTAAAATGGTTCTTAAACAAGGTGGGATGGTGTGGCCTGGTGGCAGGCTGTTGTAAATGCAGCAACAGTCCTTTGAGTTCTAAAAATTTATCGGCTGGCTGAGGAGCAATCAGCTTCTCAAGGACTCTGCTCCATGAGTTTATTTTGCAGGATTACCAAGAGGATGAAGTAACAATATACAGTCTGTTGATATTTATCCTTCCCCTGACACATTGGGCATTTAAAACTCCATCCTGGTCAGCATACCATTTCATTAAAAAATATGTAGTAGCTTCAACTTCACACAGAATAGTTGTTCATCTTTTGTTATTAAAGTTATCATAATTTAAACAGCCCCAACTATTCTTGCTAACGCCACTACTAACTGAAATAATCTTGTGAGGTTATACTGTAACTTCACTTATTATATTTGCTCATAGATGGCATTCACATTTAATTAAACAGACTTTAAAGATACATACCTATTTGTACTACGGATATTCTTAAAAAGGAAAAAGCTGGAAAGTTTTGCATGAAACACTATAAAAAAATCTTAGAAAGCAAAGGAACAACAATTTCCTGGATAATTATGAAGCTTGTAAAGGTAATTTTTTCCCTATGTGTAATCACCAAACTATGAGGCATGTATTCAGAATGGAGACAAAGCTCCAAACATTCTTAACTTCAGCATTAGATGAATGTGGGTGGTCAATTTCATGGTGTGGCCATGGGAAAATATCCTCTGGTATTAACTGTGACCTAGTCATTTTGAATGTGGTGGCAAAAAGAAAAGTCTCTACTCTTTCAAGGAAATGAACCCAGACTATCCAGACTGTAAAGTGGTCACAGACCAGGACTACATTGTTCATAAGGCTCACATTGTTCTTGTTGAGAGACAGAATGTGTAGGTTTGGTAGCTGAGGCACTAATACAGAATCAGAAAGTTTATTATTGTCCAGAACCAGTTCCTCCAGGTTTGGGAACATCTCCACGCCCTGCAGAGTCATCAGACAGTTGAAGCTCAGGTCAAGGAACTGAACTTTCGTGCCATACATTTGCACCAACACTGGAGGGATCTTCCAACAGTCCTGTCCCACATAGCTCAGCTGAAAATACAGAGCACACACAATGTATGACATCTAATTATTGAAGACTTTTCAACTGGTGAATACCTAAAATGTTTTCACTTTAATTGCACTGCTTGTCACCATTCTGATATATTCTTTTATTTTGGTGGCTGTGTAAGTAATTGTGCTGGCGCAGTGGCCACGTGGTCTGAGGCATGGTCCTCATGCGCCTGGCCTCTGTGACCGTGGGTTCGTCCCACTCAAGTCATGGATGTTTGTCCGCGTCCCCTCTTCTGGTCTGATGGATAAAGACTGGCCATGGAAGACAAGGTGAAACCATCGTGGTACCTTCGCAAGAAAACCCCGAAAGGGGTCACGAGGGTCAAGCTGACCATGAGATGAAAAAAAGAAAAGATATGTAATTGTGTGTAAAATGGTGTGTGTGTGTATTCAAACAAACACTGTAATCTACACAACAACTTGATATTGATTACACAAGCTACCACACCTAGTAACACAATAGTGGCTACCATTCCTTACCCATCTGTTCTAATTATTTACATCATTTTAAAAAACTTTGTAATCATTAATAGTTAAAACATTAATCACCTCCTTATTAACAGCAACAGAAACTTCACAAGTTTGGAGGGGCTGGTATATTCTTACAATGTCATAACTGTCTTAACATTGACAACCTATAATACAACAGGGCAACTTAACAAAAGATAAGAACCCTTACTCTTTTGTTATTAAACACAACAGCACTGTTGTTAACGTAAATGTTATTGTCTTGTAACAAATCTTCTTCTTCTATAATTACAAAATCCATTTATACAACACTCATCTCCTTAACAAACTAACCTTGAAACAACTTATCTGGCATCTAGAAAGTGGTTATGACATGTGCTCAACAGGTGACTCAGCAAACTACTTTTCACAGTGATTATACATATGTCTGACAGATAGCGCCAAAATCGACAGTCCCTCATTGATAAAGTAAGTTTAAGTTCTCACTTTCCCGCAAGAGTGCACATATTTAAGTTCCCTGTTTCCAAAAACTGTAAAATTTCTACAAATTGTATTTTCGGCATTATTTACGTTACTATAATCCGTTACACAAATGAGTATGTAAGGTATCATGCAGGTCGTCTAAACCAAAGTCACAATACAGTGGAACCTCGATATTCCGCGTTTTGTTATACCGCGGCTATGATTGTGCCCCCTAATACGATTACGTATGTTTTATGTTAGAAAAATGTCAATTGCCATGTAACGCGGGTATTGAAGCTGTCCCCCTTACAAAACTGTAAAAGGTAAATTTACACTAAAACAGAATAACTTATATCTAAATGAGATAAAACGTACAGAAAGTTTCAGCGTAGTTTTTGCAACTCTGATTTTATTCAGAAGGCTCTCAATTTGAGTCCTTGACCGACTACTCTGAAATATACAGTACATCACAGTTAGGACAGTAATATCTAGGAATCTACGTTGGACTGGGCTATAAATGGGAAGGAAAATAATGCATTCAAAATTTGGGTGGTGAAGTCACTTGAAGAATTGCCACTTTAGAGATGGATAAGGTGACTGAAAAGTAAAATTTAGACGAATCACAGGGAAGTAAACTGTGAGGCATATGTAACTAACTCAGGATCGTTTTTTAGTGTGTTACTGGGTTTTGTATCAGCTGCGTGGAATCTTGGTTAGACACTCCGTATTCTTCCTCGACCCCTTTTCACTTCCAATTGGTTATTAACGATACTTGGCAGTACAGAGGCGCGAAGTTTCAATTACCTAAACTGATTGACGCAAGTTTCTGCCGCTCAACGTCTAAAGCATTTTGTAATTAATTTTATATCGACATATGAACATACGAAATTTGGGACATCAAGGAACGCCTATTCAATTGAATGCCTGCGAGATGTATACTTAACCCATAACCCTTGTGTGGACTGCTGAAAGCAAAAGAACAATTTCCACATATTTCTATTTAAACTTAAACTTTTATTTCAACTAGCTAATAGTTGAAATTAATTAAAATAAGAGTTTTATTTTCGAATCTTTCATAATAGAGTCGTCTAAATTTAGTTAAACGTACATATTTTAAAACGGCAGTGTAATTAATGTAGTTCAAAGGCTGTTTCATCTATACAATATTTTAATTCATTTGTTCATAAGTGACTTGGACGGTAACGCTAAGATTTATTAAACAGTGTGAGAATGGTAGGTAGCAGGCCTAGGATTGATACAAGAGGAGCACAGTCTCTCTGCCTTTCTCTATAGTTGAATTACGTGCTACAGTGGCTGAGATACGCGTTACTTACGCACGACTTCAACGAATCAATTGTCTAAGCTGCAGATTCCCTCTTTGGTCTTCCGTACCATTGAATGTCCGTTCGAAATTGTGTATCTACGTCATAAAAATTCGCAAGACTCTATGGGGCACATATTTTTTTTATAAATTCCGTTCTTGCTGGTTATTCATAGGTAATTGGCCATGACATGCATTTACTGCAGGTACAATTCCATCAATTCCATTTTTACAAAGGTAATCGTGCTACATACAATCAGATGAAATTTTTCTTGAATTTTGTTCCATAGGTCAAATAATAATGTAGAAAAATGTTTAAAATAAAACTGTTGGTGTAACTGAGGAGAATATTTAATGTCAACACTTTTTTCGTACAATGAGCTTTTCACGAGAAAACGTCTTCTTGTAGTTGACAGACTTAATTTTTCTTTATTAGGCGAATTTACAGGATGGAATTCTATATCGAATGTTGTATTACATTCCACTGATATTAAAGTTATTGATTAATAGGTCCGTAACAAACAAAAAATAAAAATAACGTTAGACACAATTTTTTATAATATTCACACTACACAACACGGCAACACGGAGTTTTCCTCCGGGGGCTTCCCCGGTTTCTCCGTGGCATCCCAACAATTACTCCATTCACACACAGAAGAAGGCAATGGCAAACCACTTCTGGATCATCTGCCAAGAACGTATATGAACAGGTCCCAGTCCGAGAAAAGGATGGAAGGATCCTGTTCATATGGACCTGTCGTCAGACAGAAAGAAAGAAAGAAAGAAAGAAAGGAAAAAAAGAGGAACATACATATAGAATAACTAATGAATTTAAATAGCTGAAACGTATCGAGTAAGTAGGACATTAATGCGGTCAGTTCAGGCGTAGGAAAAATACAGAACTCAGAAAAAAGAAGTCTAGATAACCACCAGCAACACCATCCATTTTGTCGAACGCAATTCATTAGTTTAGGGAAAAGTGGAACTACAGACAGAGACAACCAAGTGAGGGTGCACTTGAAGGCGCATGGCGTGAATCAAGAGCCCACTTGTTGCTAGATTCCTGTACGCGGGGGGAAAATTACAGGACCCATCATGCCTTATTAAGCATCATTAATTGCATTACACGGGCGTGTGAGTTTGAAATGATTACGAGAGCACTGCATCACACACACATGTCCTTTCTATGGTTCTCAGGATGCAATAGACACCTCGTTCGGCTCGATAGCCAGGGTCAGATTCCCGGAGATATCTACATGACATTCCATATCAGCGATTCTCTGGAGTTAAAATAAAATGCTGTTGATTCAGTTGCACCCGTAATTGTTCAGCCGGTAAGGGATTCGAGGGTGAGATTAATGCACATAACAGTCCAGTGTCCTGCCCATTCCCTTACCCAGTGTGAACAGGAGACACTCTTAAATTAAATAAAGGTAATCGAAGTGTAAGTGTGGCCACATACATCGAGAATGTGTGGAAAATCGTACTTTCCAGACGCTCGTCTGAAGAAACGCTCAAATATAAAGTTGCTATTAAACTGCAGTTAATATGTTAAGCGGGGGGCAGAGTTTTCAATGTCAGCTGATAGAAAATTTGGCCGTTTCCCTTTCAAAGTGGAGATGTAGCGATGTAACTAAGCAGCAAAACTGCGAGAATAATTATGAACACCTTTAAAGTAACAATTAAATGGATTGTCGCATAACACATTACGCCATTATAATTCACAGAATTACTATTATTACGTTATAATCCTCAAATATGCAAGACTTTTACATAACAAGTGAATTATATTCGTGTGCATACGATTGGATTTTCGTGATCCCGAGTTTTAGTACAAAGCGGCTATCCAACTTTTGAAATTAATGACAAGATTAATCAAAATAACAACTGTCTTCTGATGAGACGAAATAAATATTGATATTTAGTTACACATATTTATTTCAATTTATTTTGTGTAACACGATATATAATTAAAGACCAAATATACATAATACTTTTGACTGTTCATTCGCCAAAAACACGCAATACATGACAATAAATGTGATACAGTTAATAGCACGTGTCATATATTTTAAGACGAAAACATGGATTTGGCACAATTACATGGTGGAATTCAATATTTATGATGTTGAACATTTAAACTGTTGAACACCTCCCAAGATAGACATTGGCATTGACTCACTATGAGACATATTTGAACGTCACTGATTCTGACTTGAAATTACGTTTGATGACAATATTAATTATATGAGACATATTAACCAATTCTATGCTACAGAAAAGACAATGCTTTGATATCGACCGTTTGTCTCTATACACATCGATTTGTGACAAATCAGTAAAGAAAGTCTTCTGTCATCTCTTAATACTTCAAGTAACTGACAAACTGTAGATTTTTTGCGAACTTAATTTATAAGTTCCAATGGAAATATTAAATAAAGGAATGTCTCCCTAACAGAAGAGTAAACATGGAAAGGATTATTCTCTTTCTGAAAACAACAAATGTCATATTAGAAAACTCGAGAGACTATTACACATCCAGCACCAAGACAAAAATAAAAAGTTTAATCAGTGTTGTTTTTAGGTACGTTTCCTAGGTAATATTTGATAATACAATAGACAAAACTCCTTACACAGTTCTTCACATTTTCGATGATACATTTAACATACGTCAGTTTAGAACAGGCGTTTCTTTGATAGGTTTCGTCATTGGAAATAAATCTGAACCGTCATCTATTGACACTGTAAGCTAAAATGACAACAACATTATATGTTGTTTGTTGTTGTCTTAATGAAACATCATATGACATGGCACCAGTCAGATCAATACACTGTCACAGAATATGGATATATCTCCTTATGGTTACACCGCAAAGTAACATGAGGAAATTCTGAAGAACTCAAACTCACTATTCACTATAGAATACAGTAAAAATAGTTGTCGTAGATTCTTGAACCACCTCGTATGTCTGATTCACGCAAAATTTTCAAATCAAGTTCAAAGATACAAAATAGACAAGTTTCTTTACTCCTTAACGACTTTGAAATAGAAACACGAGTTGCACATCAAACACACGACACCGTACAAAGCAATACAATGGAATATATAATGGAAATAAATAGAAAAGCCGTGGGTATCAAATATTTACTTTACTCGTGCAGACAGATTATTTTAATATGTCGTTTAATATGCAGTGATAAAATCTAAATTGGATATATTCACAAATAGGACTATCTAAATTTGTGTTCATTGTCAATATCGAACCAACCCTTCAACTGTTTCTGTACAAGAAATATTATACATTTTTATGATTTACAGACGTTGTGGAGTCCAAAGTACGTGAGGTAACATTTCATTCATTTTATATGAGATTTGCTAAAATGAAGACAACGTTTTGATTACGTAGTATCCATTAATTTCCTATTACAATTTTGCTGGACTGTTCATGAACATTTTTCTTTTAATAACATGCTTGAATTAAATTCTTCGTGGACAAATGCACAAATTATGTCGACATAAACTCCATAATACCATTTGACCGAATTAGTCGCCAGCCATTACATATTATACTATGTTAATTTGGTCCCACAACTGAAATTTCACAAATAAGAGCGTCCTGGTGGGTAGTTACCACCACCACCACCACCACCACCACCAAGAAATTTACATCGATCTCATGTTACAAGCCCATTTAACTGTAACAGAGCACTCAGAAACTGTGCAACTTTAAAAGATTTCGAAGTTAATTCATAAATTGCATCGACGTTTTGAATCAGAATTTATATAAGTAAAGATTGGTTTCAAATGTAACTCTCTGAGCAGTCGGCTATCACTTTAAATTTAACATAAGGTCCTCCCTGATTTATTACAACTTGTAATCGGGAAACACAAGATTCTGTAGGGTATGTGATTGAACTGCAGCTGAGTAAGTTCAAGTAAGTATGATACGTACTTCGATGGCTACAGCAAGTGTCGTCAGCGTGACCTTAGCTTATTTCATGGCTATGGAATGTCACTGGACGAAAGTCGAAATAGTCTGCTTACTGAATAAATCGATATGAGAGATTTATGATGACTTTGACGAGCGTATTTCGAAAGTTCTGAATTAATTTTATGCAGATCTATCACATGGGTCTATAACTACAGGTTAAATTCAAACACATAGTGGGCTATATTAAAAGCGTGTTGATGGTTGTGTAACATTACGCAAGTTAATTGCACCGCGGGAAAATAACTCGAAAAGAGAAACATAGGTTCCTTTATGCAACCCGCATTCTGACCCTGGAATCGCTTCAGTATTAGTTATCAGTTATATAAATCTGACGGAAGAGGAAGTATCATGCACGTTCTTCAGTTCAAACAGCAGAAGTAACACCTGTCCATGTGTTACATTTTTATATCCTTCTACACAGTAACGGGAATCATTTCGTTGTTAGACCGACGGCGGGTCTGTCTTCCTCTCGCGAAACTTCGCAAAGCGTATTCCGTACGCGTGGCAATTCCCGCAGTGGTTTCAAACGCAAAGGCGATGATAACAGCTGAGTGGTGGCACTGAGTCACCTGAGGCTCAGTTTTCGAGTTTTGCTTCGCTAGCCAAACGGCGCGCAGTTGAACCTGAGTGACACACTAGATCTGATCTTCCGGGTAGCTGTCCAGGCGGGACAGTCTACGATGTCCGTTGTAGTGCGCCGTGGGAGGGCAGCCCTTGAGGAGCGCAGTTCCTGACCGGGCGGGAGAGGCACAGTCGTTGGACAGGTACTGGTGTTTGCGGCGTGTACTCAGGTACGTCGTACAAGTGTTGACACGCTGCAGCACCGACGATTCAGTAGGATCTACCCCTGAAACAGGGCCACGTGTCTTCCGAGATTCAAAAATACCCGAAATAAAATGGGTCAAATCAAAAACCACTGGTCATACACTTGTCATTTTACTTGTCGTTTCTCGAGTCAAATCGCGTTACATTTTATTTGAACACAGAATCGATACGTGATTTTCGAGTATTAGCAGTGTTCTATCTCAGTTCGCCGTGGTTGATCTGAGTTATGACATGTCACAGCTTTAAATTCTAAGTTGAATTACCTGTGAGGGCGACGCCCGTAGTAACTGAAGACGTGTTACTGTGGCGGTGTCTGACGTTGAGCGGAAAAAGTCTTCGGAGACCTGGCAGCCGATCCAAAACGGTGCAAAATCCTGCTCTGAAACGAGTGTTCATCCAACAGTATATGACCGGGTTGTAGCAGGAGTGCGACATGGCGAGCCAGTGGAAGGCAAACCACAAATAGGGTGTCCCTGACCAACTAGCGAGATCGCTGTTGTTGTCTAGTGCCACCTACAGGGAGAAAAAACAACAGACGCATTTTTGGGATCAGAAAATATAGCCTTGGTACCAGACACAAGGGCCATAAGACTGTGAAGGACTGGGGGTTTCCGTGCGTAAATTGCTTATTTTTTTTACGTATTACTGGGATATTGCTAAAGACAAAGCTCAATAATAATGTTGATTTCGTCTTAATTTATGTCTCTGATAAGGAATAATCGCACTTAAGCATACATAATTTATTTCTACGCACGTCATATGTCCAGACGCTACTACACAATCCAAATAATTCTCGTTTCCGCCATAGTGATCCACTGTAAGTTAAGGGAGAAAGAGATGAACATGGAGCGGGATAAATGTCTGAAGAAAGGGAGAACAGAATTGTAACAGAAGGTAAAAGAGTTTTTAAAGAAGAAAAAACGTTAGTAAGTAAATGCATTATCACAGTCACACACCGCAGTCTGTGTTACTTAGCTCCTTTAAACTAATTTCAGAAGGGAGCCATCAAAACTTTACTTATGAAACTAACAAGTACCAGTACTAAATTTTATTATACACAGTTCTTATACCCGCAAAATTAACACGGGTCACATAAGCCTGAGTTCTAAAACCTGTTCTATCGGCTTGTTAACTGAAGTGTTTCTGCGCACATAAACATGTCATTACTTCCGTCTTTTGTCTTCTAACTAGTTTAAGAGCGGTGATGGGAAATTTATTAAACTACTTTCAGTACGGTTAATGCAGTCATAATCATGAATTTGTTGAGAATCCCTGCTATAGGAACACACGCCATTATATAGAGTCGTAAAAACTGATAATAAAGTTAAAATGAGCGTAAGATTTACATGAAATTAATGTATTCAATACAGTACTATGGCACATAGACTTCCTGTGGCTCGTTCTGATAGCCTATCGAGAACAGAAGCTCGTCTGCCTCTCTGTATCTTATTTCATATTCTGGTCGGACGGAAATTATCTCATCGCTTGGGTTAGGGGCTGTAATTTCTCCATGTTCGCATTTGAGAGATTTTCGCCTTCATAAAATAAGTCCAAAATTATAAGAATTAACACTTATGTAAGACTTGAGGTTCTCACAGCGGTGAGTATGAAGATTTCTGTCTTCTGGGTTCTTGCGCTGTGTAGTCTGGTCGATGTTAACCAACGTTTCAGAGGTCATACTGCCTCCGTCATCAGGGCGATCGCCCTGATGACGGAGGCAGTATGACCTCTGAAACGTTGGTTAACATCGACCAGACTACACAGCGCAATAACCCAGAAGACAGAAATCTTCAATTAACACTTAATTTTGCTTTTCAGATTAACTTTTGATAAAAGAGCTTCTTCAATATGGGCGGTAAAATGAATGCTGTGGTTCATGAGAGCAACGGCAAAAGCGAAATGAATAGATAAGGCGGAAAGGAATATTAATAAGAAGAACGAAACAGCTAAAGAAAGAAGGAAACAGACGGGACAGAAAAAATGTTAAAAAGTAATGAATAAAGAAATTAAAATATCTGGAAAAATAGAACAAATGTACACAGACTGAGGCAAAAACTGACGACGAATCAGCGAGGAATAAAACAATTATTTAAATCTTTGTCTCTTTTTTGCTAAGCAGAATTATTCAGTAGTTACTACTCACCATAAGTATGTTGAACGGCAGCCAGCATGCCGTGAATATTATCACCACGATCACCATCATTTTGATCATCTGAAAGATAGAAACAAGTAATATAGCGCACTCAGCAACCCCAGAAACAAAACAGCAGTTACACCTACACACTGTGCCGCTCGTTAATGTAAAGTCCCTTACATCTGTTACGTTATTAGCCGATGATTTTGGACCAGCTTACATTTGTACGCATTTTTCGTACATATTTGACCATTTCATGTTCACAATTAAGCGCTAATACTTAACGGATTTCCGGGTTTAGACTAAAAGTTTGGTTAGGTTAGTATCATTTTGGTTTTTATCTGCCCAATATAACTGACATTGTACATGGAGCTCAAATCGACTTATTATACGAGGCGCGTCCCAAAAGTAAGTTTCCCTGGGGCCGTTTACAGAAACAAAACACAATTTCATGGAAATATTTATTGCAACAGATACAGCAAGTGTCCAGCTATTTTTCAACATATTCGCCACCGGAATTGAGACATTGGTCATACCGTGGGACCAACTTTTGAATACCTGTGTCGTAGAAGTCTGCCGCCTGGGATTGGAACCACTGTGTGACAACCATCTCCGCCTCTCTTTCATTCTCAAAACGCTGACGCTGACCGGACAGGAATTTCTTGAGGTGTAGGAAAAGATGGAAATCACTGGGAGCGAGGTCCGGGCTGTAGGGTGAATGATTAAACACCTCCCAGCTGAACTCCTGCAGGAGACTTGCTGTCCGTCGAGCCGTGTGCGGCCTAGCGTTATCACTGACCGCACTTCACAGTCGGCGGGAGCTGGAATAAGAACCTCCATCTTCAACAGCTGCAACGATGCTAATGTGAGAACGCGGGAAGTTCCGTTAGTGCATGCGCCATGCTACGTCATTACTCTATCACGTACGCACAGTCGCTTCGCGCAATATAAGGTTTGCTAGCTGTGGGACGAGTGGGAAACTTACTTTTGGGACGCGCCTCGTATATACAAACAACAATTTTTGTACAAAAATAATCTGTACAAAACAGTAAATGTTTATCTCCTAATCACTTAATTTAAGAACTTATCATCACTATGAGTATGTGATTAAATACAAGGAAGAATGCTTATATGTTCACGCATTGTGGAAGGACACATAATTTACGTCGACAAATTCGCAACTGCGAAAAACTAATATAAAGGAAAATGATACATAAAAATGGCAAACTCACTTGGAGTATGTACCAAGTTTTTGTATCCTCTTCCTAGTCTTGAATATTTTAAGAACATGGCTGTCTTCTTGGTTGTAGAAGGCCGCCGTGAGAACCTCAAATTATGCTTTAAATATTTTACATCGAGGCTGACGACACACAACAAGGCAAGCACATGGGGAGTCTTATGCCCCTTATGCACTACCATTTGACAACGACTTTAACTGGACTTATGTGGCGGGTGTGAGAATTATGTTTGATAATGTAGTTTCTCATTGTAATTAAACCGCAGTATGTATGTGATAGAAGGCTAGTTGTAAATACATGTGTACTTTACAAGAACGGTCAACATTAATTCGACATCAAGTACAACACTATCATAAGTGACATTTCAAACTAGACATTTCATAAATTTGAGTCATTTTCTTTATTTCTATAACTTCAGTCTCGTGGTCGAGATCTCAGTGACAAGTAAATAAATAAACAGAATAAATAATAAAGCAGCAAGAAATAATTGCATGCAGGGATAAAGGAGGCAACCTGCAAATAAATTAGAAAATGAATGAGTTCACTACAAAATTCGCCTACAAGGGAACTTGGTACTGGTCAGTCCGTTTCAACCTATCGAGGCATAAAAAAACAACACACCCAGTCATTGTGTTGTTACTCGGTTTCCGTCCCTTGTACACGAAGGCCTATGAAGCAGTCTCCCGATGATACATCCCGTTCAGACCCCAAAGGCACAATTCTGAGGCTTATATTCAACACATCCGGGGGTTTGAACTCCGCACAAGAAAATAAAAGAGGATGAGAATAAAAGATGATAAAAATAAACACACACACACACATATATATATAAGTAAAGTAAAGTTTGTCCCACTATACGCCATGTAGGCGTTTGGGATGAGTGGAGGTATAGCTCCTCTCTTCCTTGACCTCGGCACTAGATGGGGGTGAGTGGTCAGCATCACGCCCCGGCCGGCTTTACCCCCGGTACCCATTGCAGAGGAGGCTGGGTGGGCCCCAGAGCCGGTCTGGACGCAGAGGCTAGAGGAAAAATCCTCTGCCCCCGTCGGGGATCGAACGCCGGTCGTCCAGCTCGTAGCTAGTCACTATACTGACTGAGCTATCCCGGCTCATTCATATATATATATATGTATGTATGTAGAAAAAATACGAGAGAAAAGCTAACAGAGTGAGCAGACACTTAGTAGAATAAGTAGGAGGAGTAGAAAATAGAGACGGGTGAAGAGTAAGCAATAGCATAGAAGGAGAAATAGGACGACAGGAAAGTAACAGAGAATTAGGCAGAATGAGGAAAAGAAAAAGGGATGGATCTGATAAAAGCATAAGACTACAATTAAAAGGAGAAAAATATATTAGCATAAACCCTACCAACATTTGTTACCTCATCTGAAAGCCACTTCTGCACTTTCCTCCGTCCTGATTACGTGGCTAGTCACCGATTTGTTTCTTCTGTTTTCATCTGCCTAAAATCGATCTGTTACCCAACACGAGACTATTACGTTGTGCTCTATCGGACCTTAAAATTGTTCCCACTACTGGTTTCTCCGCGTAGCGAAATTTGATAACAACGGACCGCGTATTTCTTTTGTAGTGGAGAACCCAGCTCTATTATTCGTAGTTTAGAAAATAATAACAGCACGCCAGTTCTATAGACACAAAACATATTTACATATTAATACATATATTATTATAAGAATCTTATTGCTATTAATATTAGTAGAATAGGATATTCATGATCAAGGCCTATTTATGCAATCATGAGATTCCCGACTTTTATGAAACCCAAAGTTTCATTGTCGAATTCCCGAGTCAGTTGAACCGATCAACTTATCCTATTTCTATAAGATTCGTTTTAATATTATTCTCCCATTTATAACCTGTCCCAAAAATGTTTTCTTCCCTATAGAATTTTAAACTAAAATCTAATACTTATTTATCATTTCTAATATGCAATCTACATAACCCACCTAACTATAGTCCTATTACAGCATTCACTCGATTTTAAGACAACATCGACTGTTAGACCAACCCCTGATTTAGTAATATATTACAATAGGAACTGTCAATATTAATACATGAAACTCCTTTTTATTAATACTTCTCTTTGCTATGTTTGTGTTTACTGTCCCACGAGTAATGTTACGGACATGAAGAATTTCCTTCTGCTTAGTCACACAATACAACTTTTCGACATCAATTCTTAGACGCCATTAAATATAAGACGCACATCTGTTTCATAAATTTTAAAATGTAAAAAATTGTGTGGCTTAAATCAAGGAAGTGAGGTTAGGTTAAAGCAATGTTACGGTAATCGCATACTCTCGACTCTGAACTATCACGAAGATCTCTCAGGCCCCTACTTGACATTGTTAGGTCAAACTCATTCCTTCGATTGGGTATTTGAACTTTTTTATTTCTTTTTCCTTCAATCTGGCGACTGTTCCAAGTCTATTTGATTAAACAGCCTTATTGGAACCGTCTCTTTCCATACCATGTCACATAAAATATGTTCTTCAATTTCATTTGCGACTGTTTCCATTATTCCATTCTCCTCAAATGCACTTCTTCAATTTTACTGCCCTCTTACACCTCCTTCGGTAATCCATTTCAGATGTTACGAAAGGAAAAAAAGGAAACTTTCTTGCCAATCTGAGAAAGAAAAAGATTTTGCTCTTATAAGACTGTAGTATGAGTAGTGGCGTTCTCTTTGGTTACTTTATACTTTGCTGGAATTAACCAAGTTTCTCATTTTGAATACCACCGAGTGCATACACCAGGAGCAGCCTATTCCCCACAGGATTTATAATGTACAGAAGAGAAAGCAGTTTGGTAAAGATTAAACCATCACGTTTCCAGACAAATTAACAATTTTCTCACAGTTAAAAAAACAAACAATGAAGTTCCTAGTACATTATCTTAATCACAGTAACCAAAAGTTTTCCAATACCACTTAAGTAAAACACGCATTAAAACCACTCCCTGCTAGCAGAGAGTATTTTAGGCTTCCGAAGGATTAAAAAATGTGGGTTTTAAGACTACTCCTTCCATTAGCAGATGACGTTTTACATAAGACAACTAAAATTTCAGGAAAAAAACAGTTGCAACGATTGGTTTATTTATAACAACTGTATACTTTTCAAACACAACCTCATACAACATTTCTGGCCTACGCTGAATAAATATAGTATTAATCTCACCTCAAAGTTCGCACGAAGGCCATATTCGAACCATTGGCTGCGGAATTTTAAAAGTAGCAAACTGTAGATGTTCCCAGTGACGTAATGCACATACGTCGTTCAACAAATAGGTAAGTTAGTGTCTACAACACAGATATCTGTAGTTGAATCAGAAGACAAACACACTCAGGTCGCAAACAGGGTTGCTAAGAACTATTTTATTTATTCTATGGCAACAAAACCGGAATCATTCAGTCTGGAAGGTACTTCGTGGTCTGATAATTGAGATTTTACAGTGTGCCTCGAAAGAACAGAAGCTCAAGTGCCACTGGAATCCTATCTGTGATGCAGTGTGACTCCTGCAAACAAAGCAGAAGTCCACACTGTTTGTGTAATGGGGGCCATGAACACACCTATTATGCAAATCCTTTGATTCAACATGCAAAACCCATGAAGGTATTGTTTCATTTGCTCTGGGTTCACAATTCATGGTGGCGGTAGGGAACAACAACAACAACAACAAACACTGGAATAATGCCAGCGGTGGCTGCCGGAACTAACAATAATGATAATTATAAAACTATTATAATAATACATGTAACACATATTAAAAACAAAATGTATTTCGTAAATAGCTGCTGCACTATGTACCTCGGGGGCAAGGTTTGTGTTGGGTACATAGAAGTAAGTACCCTATGAAGTGTTGAATATATGGAACATACTAATAATAACAAAAACAAATAAACTGAGATCAGTGAGAAACTTTAAAACTGTAGTTTTAGAACCCCTGCAAGCAACCAGTGAGCTTCAGATGTTATTCGAAAAAAAAATCAGAAATTGAGATTTTCCAACCGAAGAAAAAGCGGACTGTGGTTTTCTGGGTTATGCCTTACAACCCTAAAAATGGAGGCGATACGTTTCTCAGAAACTTTGGTAAAATACCACAAGACTGCAATGCATCACAAGTCAGATGACCACAATCCATAGCAGCATAAACATTTAATTGTTTAGTGGTACATGGTTTCGAAATGTTGAATTGCCAAACTTCGTTCACCATCTGAAGTCTGTAATTTTCCAAGTACGCTGTATCAACCTCAGTTGTGTTCAGTTCGAGTTATTATTTTGCATAATGTGAACTTCTAAAACGTTCCGTACTTGTAGGGTGACATATACTTTCTATGTCTGCGATGTTATAGAACAGAGGGTTAAGTCGGAAATTGGATAAAATAAGAAAAGTGCATGCCGAAATTCCCTTTATTAAAACGACATTTAGTTATTTAATCCTCTTATCCATACATCTACAAATAATATCCCTTTATACGTAATTTTTGTTAATGATTCCTATTTTCATGGCAGCTAATATTTCATTACGGTTGTGCCACGCGGCTTAATGAAACAGAATTCCAATTACTTACGAAATTTCAACGACTGTCACTAGCAGGCTCAGTTACACGGTTAAATTTAATATAGCACGTACACAGTGAAAATGAAGTACTTCTGCTTAACCTCCGCCAGTCTCCGCAAAATGGGCTTAACGATCATTTACGACGTACTTAGTTCTAAGGCATATTTATAGCACGCCTTGGATCCCGTAGCAATCGGCCGATAACTTTCGGCTGGGGGGATGTTTAATGATATGTTGAAGTTACACTCCTTAACCCTTTCGAAGGATAATCACGAATTATCTCACTTAAAAGCAGTGACCTTATATATTAAATTTATTTTGCGTCCGGTATAAGTGAAAGATACCGCACGGTAGTCTAGCGGTTAGAACGCTGGCCTTGTAATCCCGGGGTCTCGGGTTCGATTCCCGGCGGTGCCCGAATTTATAACTTGTGTTGGGCAAGGCCGTGGTCTAGGCAACACGGAGTTTTCCTCCGGGGGCTTCCCCGGTTTCTCCGTGGCATCCCAACAATTACTCCATTCACACACAGAAGAAGGCAATGGCAAACCACTTCTGGATCATCTGCCAAGAACGTTTATGAACAGGTCCCAGTCCGAGAAAAGGATGGAAGGATCCTGTTCATATGGACCTGTCGTCAGACAGAACACTAAATAAATAAATAATAAATAGCGTCAAATGTGCGAGATAATTATAATTCATGAATTGGCAGGGACTTGACAGACAGCGGTTGTCAATTGCTGCAGGTAATATTTAAATATTCTCCGGACAAACAAATTAGAATAACCAAGCTTAGAATGGAACCCGGGACTTCTCAAATTCCTACTACTGAACCGACATGTGTTTTACATTAATGTTGACACCTTCAACGTTAGTCTGCGTTAGGAGTGAAGGAAATAAAAATTAATGGCCTGGCCAACCCACATTCTGATATACAGACCTCCATTACGACGTCCTTTCCAGCGCTGTTAATTTTTTTGATGGTGTTCGGCTTTCTGTTGTTTCATTTTTAATTAGAAGTAGCGCGAAATGTATTGTATATACCACCACACTAGATGGAGTGAGGGTCAGGTGACATCTTCACTTACGGAGAATTTATCCTTGTTACAGGTTGGACAAGATGAGCCGCAGAAATGTTCTGAGCGTGACCACGAAAAGCAATATCCTCACTTCACTACTTAGGCTGAAATCCCCGTCGCCCAGCCGTAGGTGTGTTATTGGATTCAGTATCATATTTTATTCACTTGGGATCCTCAACCTTGTCTTGAGTCCGGACAATTAAACGAGTCATGACATTATATATTTGTGGTTGTAAACCCAGGCTTATGCGCCCTTGAAAGATCCAGGGTTCACTTCGAAAGTTTAGCTGAATACAACTGGTCTTACAGTGCTTATTACTCAAGACTTAAATTTGTATAAAAATTAAATCCAACTAAATTACATTTTTTAGAGTGTTTGCCAATACCAATGTAAATACACGGGAGAGTAACATAATAAAACTAAACTCAACAACTAATCAATTTAGACAACTTTGCGTATAGTTAATGTGCCTACAAAAGGGAGTAGGCCTATGTTTTAATGCACTGCTCAAGCAAAGAGTAGAAAAATCTGGTATTTGACTAAAGCCACACGAATACCAACAGTATTAATGGTGTAATAACAGCAGCAACAACAACAACATACCTGAAGGTAGAAAACCACTTGAAATATACTTAAATTAGTAAACAAAAAAAATATTATTAAAATGGATCTTCAGGCTACATATAAAACAGAATCGATGCCAGAAAATGAATAGTATCTGTGGATTAGGTGAGCGACTGACATTCTCCACGGTGTTAGAGTTTAAATTTGCGTACTTAAAGCAACGTCTTCCATCAAGCGTTACACGGCGACTCATATTGCTTCTTCAAAATTTAGGCTCAACTAATTCTCTTTAATTATGTAATATTAAACTGTCGGATCCATTACATCACTTAGTTGACCGTGTTAATTAATTTTGCAGCAAAACGTCCACAGTTTACTTCTGTGGCCTCAGCGAAGGTTCTATACCTTCATTAGGTTTTAACGAACTTAAACTATTTTGACTCTTTAATCGCCAGATCATTTTCTGTTTAATATGGGCGACACTGCCCTTCTTTTACCACGTTTTTATAAACAGACTGTAAT